TGTGTAGCAGGAGATATATTTAATAAGTAAACATTAGAAAAATACTTAACCTTACTAATAAGCAAAATGATGCGAGAGAACAAAGATATCTGCTATAATTACTAGTTAAGTAGGAAAAATTAAAAGTCCCAAGTAAAGAGCATTCCATTCAGACAGTGCTGGTGGCAAAAATATCACTATTCCTTTGGAAGGGAAATATTCAAAAAATATTCACTGCATTAACTCAGAAACACTCCTCTATTTCTCCTAAGGGAAATTCTTAAGTCAATGTAATATGTGTAAATGATGGCCACTGTGGCATGATAATTACAAGGCAGTATTACTTTATGTAGATGAAATATTAGAAATTATGTAAGTGCAAATATAAAAAGATGAATGGCTGTGAAAAAACATTAACCTTATTAATTAGTACATACTAAACAAGATTTCAAAAGTAACCTACAAGATGTGATAATAAAAACAATACAGAGAGCAGTGCTGTGGCACAGTGCAAAAAGCTGCTACTTTCAAAGCCAGCATCCCAACTGTTTGCCAATTTGAATCCTGACTGCTCCACTTCTGATCCAGTTCCCCGCTAACGCACTTGGAAAAGCAGTGGAAGATGGCTCAAATGCTTGGGCCCCTGTGCTCTGATGGGAGATTTGGAAGAAGCTCTTGGCTCCTGGTTTTGGTTTGCCTGGGCACAAACAATGCGGCCAGTTGAAGAGTGACTCAGAGAATAGAATTCTCTCCATCTCCCCCTCTCTCTCTATAACTCTGCTTTTCAAAGAAATCAATAATTTTTTTAAGAAAAGCTTTTTTTTAAAGTACAAAACTTTTAGTATACTCTAGCCACAACTATGTCATCAATGCACAGAGACTCAAATAAAAAATATGAAAATGGAAAACAGTTCAAATGTTTAGGTGCTGGAATTTCATGTGAGCTCTGGTCTTCCTTGTTGTAACAACTGCTACCATTTATGTGATACTAATGACTTATCGGAGGCTGGACTACGGGCATTCTTTGGGCATTCCGTGTGTGACCGGACTTGATCCTACAGAGTAGGTCATAGCAATAACTGGCAGAGTCCACAGTGCCTGGATTCAGGCACTTTGGTCTTAGTATTGATTTTAATCACGTTGATATGGACCACTATTGTGACACTTGTGATGCAAGCATCCCATATTAGGGAGTCCTGGCTGCTACACTTCTGACCCAGTTCCATGTTAACATAATAGAAAGAAGTGGAAGATGGTCAAAGTACTTGAGAGCCCTGCCATTCACATGGAAGACCCAGATGGAGGAGTTCCAGGTTCCTGGCTTTGGTCAGGGTCAGCCCTAAGCTTTGTGACCCTTTGGAGAGTGAACTAGTACATGGAAAAATTTTCTGTCTTCCTGCCTGTGAAATGTAATAAATCCAGCTTTCAGCAGCTATTTCATTCCCCAATTGCCCATAATAGCTGGGGCTGGAGCAGACCAAAGCTGAGAGCTGGGAACTCTAGTCTCCCATTCAGATGGCAGGGACCCAACATCTGAGCCATCAAATTGTTGCTTCCAGAGACATGTATTAGCAGGGAGCTGGAATGGGAAACAGAGCTCTTGGAACTCGAACCCAGTCACCCTGATACATGATGTGGGAGTCCCAACCTATAGTTTGACTGCTGTGCTAAACACCAGCCCCTAAACCCCTTTTTAAAATTCCATTCTCCCACAAACTTTTTAAATAACCATCACAGACAAAGTAAGAACAGTTAGGGGGAAAAATGAGATTTTCCTCTAGTTATGAATTATTTTTGAAAAGGTCAAGTGTATCATATATGTACATCATTTTATAATCTCAAATTACTATGCCTTAAAAACTGCCATCTAACCTAGCAATCTTGTTTAGGAAGTTACAATAGACTAATTTTTAAAATTTATTGATTTTTATTGCAAAATCAGATATACAGAGAAGAGGAGAGACAGAGAGGAAGATCTTCTGTCCGCTGATTTACTCCCCAACTGGCTACAACAGCCAGAGCTGCGTTAATCTGAAGCCAGAAGCCAGGAGCTTCTTCCAGGTCTCTCACATGGGTGCAGGGTCCCAAGGCTTTGGACCATCCTCCACTGCTTTCCCAGGCCACAAGCAGGGAGCTGGATGGGAAGTGGAGCCACCTTGCTGGACCCAGAATTAGACTAATTTTAAATAGACTGTAAACAAACACTTCTATATCATCTTGGTTGGAACTGGACAAAAGAGTATAGGGATTATTGGATGAGAAAGCAACCAGGTTCAAAATCAGTATGAGATAGACTCAAAGACATTCAGCTGCTAATATAGCCAAAGCCATTGTTTTACAGGTTTCCCGTTGAGAGTCAATGGCATTTTTTTTCCCATACTATCTTACTCTTTCCTTTGCTCCCCACACCATGCACCACTTGAAAAAAAAAGTTTCTCTTTTGCTTTCAGTGCATTCCAAGGGCCCAGCAGTGCAGCCAGCACATTTCGGCTACACTAATTTAATCTTCACAACAGTTTTAGGAGGTAAATATTATAATAACCACTTTAAGACGAGGAGATTGTAGCACAAACGGGTTTAGTATGCTGTCCAAGATCACATTATCAACTAGTACCCAGATCTCGGAGCCAGTGCTCCAGCACGCTGCTTAGGCGGTAAGAGCTGGGCAGGATGTGGCCACCCACTGAAGCCCTGCTGCTAATGGAGGTCCCCCTGCGTCCCGGCTCCTGCCACCAGAGCTTTGCTGGAGGAGAGATGTCTGATCTTGCTTAGGACCAGCTGGCTGCTTCAGCGGGTTAGAAGGAATGTAAATAAATTCTACCTGCTGGAGTGAAAAGGCTGGCCAAGTTTGGGTAGATCTGAGGATTGCTCTTTCTTGTTTTAGAGAAGGAAACTGAAGAGCAAAGGAGAAAACATCTAATGACGTTGTAGTCCCCAGCAAGTGTGCTTTCCTGATGTGGGATCAATGCTGTCACCTCTGGATAAATGCATTTCTTTCATCATCTTTTCTTCTTTAGTCTGTTCCTTTTCCTGGGCCTCAAACTTTCCATTCTGCAGACCCGGAGGAATGCTGGCTTTGGTCTTTGGTCTCCCTGCTCCAGCCGAGAGCCCCTGAAGAGGTTTCTCACTTTCTAGTGGCTCTCACCAGTGCACAAAACAGGGGTAGAGAAATTTCCCAAAGCAATGCTGTGGCTGCCATCTTGCAAACAGGCCCTGCCCCCTTTCCCCAGGCAGCAAGCCCACTGTAACTGAAGAGGCTCTGGCTGCCCCTGATTGCTGCATCAGGAATCCTCTCCCTCTCTACACTCCATCCCATTTTCGAGGCCAATCTCAGATGTAATCGCCCTGGCCATTTCTGATGAACCTCCAGTCAGATGCGATCCCTTTCCTGTCTAGCTCCTTGTAATGTCTGAAAGACTTGACATTCGGATCCTTATTGTTGGTACCTGTGTATCCTGTCAGTTCCATTAAAGCAACTTTTTATAGCCCTTTATGTTATGGACAGCATCTATGCACGCAGCCAATGATCCAAACAACAATGACATTTTGAGTCATGCCAACTAAATCAACGTGCTTCCTAATTTTCTACTGATTGAGGAGCTGGTCAAAGGAACTGAAACAGTTCAAGTAAATAAATCAGGCAAAGCACAGTTTATTAATGGGGCATTTAACTTTCCAGGTGCGGATGCAACAGTTGATAGACATCGACTAGGTCAAGGAGAGGTATGCCTAGATTATGCAAACAACAGAAGACTGGAAAAAGTTACAGAAACAATCTGAAGGCATCTGGCACCTTCCTAAAACTAGTTTGTCATTTAATGAAGCGACACATTTTGAATGCTACTGTGCCAATCAATCAGTTCAAACTGGGCTACTAAGTGATTCACGTCCAGACAAAACTAAAGCCAGTCTTAGAAAAATGCAGCTCCTGTGGTAACGTGCTTTTTCCCCTAAATTCTAAAGCTCATCAGATGTTGCCTGATGTAACCATTTCAGAAAAGCACTGATTGTGAATAATGGATCCAGGGGCCCTGGCTGTAACTACGTCATCTTTGTTTACTGGGTGACTTTCATTATTATTATTCTTTCTTTCAGAAGGGACAGGGGGTAGTATGGAAAGGATAACAAGAAATCAGCGTGTTATATTCATGTGTCTTTACAGGGTAAACACCACAACTCAACCAACTGTTTTCCAAAGGGCCTGAAGAATTTGCCAGTGAGAGCACATGAAATGAAGCGCTAACTTGAACAAAGGCAACAGGCACCTGCAGTCCCTCAATCCCTTAGCAAATATTTCCGCCTAGACGGGGCCAATTCGGGGCTGTGGGCGAGGAGGCGGGTGTCACCTTTCAATAACAGGCTCCTTCCTCGGTAAGCCGTAAATCTCGAAACAACTGGGACCCTTCCAAAAGGATCCCTAGCTGGGAGCGGTCTCGGGTTTTTAAGACAAATCTCTCCTCCTACCACACGTGACCCAATGGCAATCAGCCGCCGAGAGAGGAGAGGAGAGAGAGAGAGAGAAGACACCGCAACGCATCAGCCGCGGGATACAAAGGCTCGCCGCCGCCGCCGCCCTCGGAGGAGCGCCGAGCCTTCCGCGCTCGGCGTCTGCGGAGTTTGCGCAGGGCGCCGCCGCCAGGCGCGCAGCTCCCGGGCCCACAGGGCGGTGCCGCGCAGCGCGGGGAGCGGAGCAGGGGGTGCGCGCCGCCTGCCCTGCGCGCCTGCCCACCCAGCGCCGCCGAGCCGCACGCAGCCGAGCAGGGCCGCGCCGCAGCCGCCGTCGCCGCCACCGGACCCCGTCCGCGCTCCGCCGCGCCGAGCCCCGCAGCGCCGAGGACCAGGGTGAGAAAGGCCGAGGGCCCCAAGCTCTCCCGGGTGAGCGCCGCAGCCGGGCCACCCCCGCCCCCGCCCAGGCCCGGGCCTTCCCCGGCTCCGGGCCCCGTGCCCCCGCTCTGGGTCTCCTTGGAGAGGGTGAGGGGGGTGCCTCGCGCGGGCAGCGGGGCGCCTGGAGCGGCACTTACACCACGGCTCTGGAGATCATCCAGGACACCATCTTCCTGGGGGGATGGGGGGGCTCGGGTCCCCCCCCCCACCTCCGGAGCCGGTGGGCGCGGAGCGCGGCAGGCCGGGCCGCCAACGGCAGGCCGCCGACGAGGGAGCGCCAACGGCAGGCCGCGCGCGCTCGCCGGGGGGCCCCGCACTGGCGCCCTCGGGGGCCGGGCCCGGTGTCTACGCTCGGCGGGCCGCGCTGCGTGGCGGTGGGTCCCCCGCCCGTCCCCGCCCGCCGGCCGAGCCGCCGCCGCCGAGCCGACCGGCCCCGCCCCTGCGCTCCGCTGATAGGCGGCGGCGGCGGCGCGTGGGTCCCCGGCCAGGCCGGGCGGCCGGGCTCCGGGGGGCTGGCCCGGCGGGGATCCGGGTCCACGCCACGCGGCCGCGACTCGGACCCCCTCGGCCGGCGCTCGGGCTTGGCTCGACCGCCTCCTTCGAGACGCCTAGGAGGCGTGAGAAGGCGGAGGCGGGTGTGTGTTTGTGTGTTGTGTTGGAGGCTGGGGGAAGGGGTCTTGGGTGTAGAGGGGTGGGGGTGTCGTCACTGCGTTTGTGAAAAGATCAGCTAGCAAACAAACTGTGGAATCCTCCAGACTAGGCCCTGGGTTCTGGACAGCCAAGATTTTGAGCCGTGGTTGCCCACATCCGGTCCTTTCGGTGTTTACGCAAGCCCAGTACCAAGGGCATCTTCCCGGTACCGCATTCTCGGGCGGCCGTCTGGAGACCCTGCGTGCACAGGCCTCAGCGTGTGCCATGAGTCGGTGCGTGGTGCAATGCGGGGATGGATGGGCACAGAGCGGTGCAGGCTGCTTGTTTGCAGTAGTGGGTATCGCGATACCACTGTTCCGGACATCTTAGGTCAGCTTTCCAGCTTGTGTTTTCTGACACACATCTCCAGGATTCATTGAGCTAGATAATAAAAGGTAAAAGCTGAGCCTAGAATTCCTGACTTTTTTTTACTGAAATGTGCAAATCTTAATCCTTTAGGGGAGGTTGGAGTACTGCTTACACCTTGCAATTTCTGCAAATATCTCGGGAATAGAATTTTAATTTTGGTGACAATACCAAATTGAGAAATTTGGTAAAGTTTAAAGTTTTTTTTTTTCTGTGATTGAAAGATAATGAAAAGGTAATTTTGGTATTCAGATGGTGCCAGGAATAAGGGATAAAACATGGGCTTAGAGCCTTTAATTTTATCTTTAATTAAAGTCCTAGAAAATGTGATGGTTTATTTTGTGACCATGCTGTAATTTATTCTTTTTGTTCCTCAGTTTCTCCATAGTAAAAGGAGGCTAATAATACTGTTGGCTGCACCTTGCCTTTCCGGGGTGATGCCAGGCACTGCTAAATAACACATTCAGGAAGTGCTCACATTTGGAAGGAAATCAAGGGACGGAGACGCCTAGATTATTCTGAGTTCTTTTTCAGTTCCTGGAGTCAATAAATGTAGTAACATTTTGATTACTTAAGAAACGAGTTCAGAAGCTGCTTTCTGCTCTTGGGTTAGGTTTTTATTTATTTATTTATTTTTTGCTTATTAAGAATATATATAATATATTTTAAGAATATATATTTTTAATCTCAGTGCTATCACTTGTGTTTTTGCTGAATTTTATTTTTGGTCATGCTGCAGCATTATTTTAGCCTCTGGTGTGTAGACCAGTTTTCTGGAGAATTCTCTTGCCCAGGAGAACTCAGAACATTTTGGGATGTCATTCAGATCCCTCCATAAGCAGGCCCTGAGATATCTTCACAATCTTACGTTTTACTGCTTTTCTGCCCAGTTCCTAATGAGCCCATTTTGTACCTCACTTCTCGGGAACAAAGTATGTTCAGTGCCTTTGCCCTAAACTTAAAATTTTTTCTTCAGTATTTTGCTCCCCATTCTCTGTCCTTTGCTGTTACATTTCAGTGTCCTGTGCCACTGGGTGTTGCTCAGTGCTGATGACTCATGCTTTCCTCAGGGCCCTGTAATTTATTACTTGAATTTCCACTCAGTACCTCTGTCATTCTGCTTCTTCTCAATGTCTAATTTATTGGATGGTAAAGTGCCTGAGGGCAGGTATGGTGCACTGTACATCTTCGTCTTCGTACCTAACGCAGAAGAGTAAATGCCCAGTAAAAGTTGAGCTAATGTTTCTTAAATAGTCACTCTCTTAAACACCAGTTTTCAAAGTTCTGCCAAGAGTATTAGAAATCTCTTAATAATATGTGTTTTTCCAACTTTGGGGTCATCATCCTGACTTATTTCCCCACATGACAGTGCCTTAATGCCTTCAGTGGTTACAGGATGCTATCTGCTCTGCAGAACGTCCCTAGTCTGCTGTGTGTTAAGGTTTCATTTTATGTGCTTATTAGATGCTTTCTTGTCTTTTTCCACGTTCCTGTTACTTTTTACTGCTTTCATTTGTTTATGTGAAGTAATTTCCTTCTTTACGACTCAGTGGGCCACAGGTTGCAAACCCTATGTGGAGTGTTATACACGTGTTGAGTTACCCAATGACTCAAAAATCTGGGTAGTGTGTGTTTGCTTTTGAAACCATGGAAACTGAGGTATCAAGCTATTAAGTTGTTAGGCAGTGATCCTGTAGCTCATCAGGGCAGAACTAAGCTTCCCAAGCATCTTTCTATTATGCTGTGGTAGACAGTGGAATTGTGTCTGAGGCAGGGAATCCTTGTGGCGAGTGATGGTGATTGGTTTAATGGTTGCAGCTAGCATTATTTGGTGGGTGTTGATCAAGGATGATATTCTTTTTTGCAGTAGTACCACAATCTTGAGTAAAGTATTGTTCCTTTGTCCTGTATGACTTAGGAACATCCTGCCTGGTATTCATGAAATATTTGTAGTTATCTGAACCTGGAGTTTCCGTTTGACATGTATGTGTGTGGAGTCATGGTTTTCTCTGAGACTGCTTTTTCCAGTGCTTAGTTGGTCATTTCGGCCGTTGTGTTTATAGAAGGATGATTTGTTCTGTTCACCACTTGGCTGGAGGTTGTTTATGGTTTTGGGAAGACGGCATGACACACCGCTGTGCATTTGTTAGTATGTTCACTAATTCTTCCTGTCTTCTAATGTTGTTTTGCCTCCAGTGCTTGCATTTCTTTCTCTTCATATATATATATATAGATTTGATTGGAATTTTTCCTGTAGGAGTATTGTTGATAACTGGATGGTAAAGCAGAAATTAGGAAACATTTTATGGAAGAGGCACATTGGGTCTAATATGGTTGAGAGTTTCTAGTCTAAAATAAATGTCTTTGAGGAGGACCCATTTGTGACAAGTACGCAGGTTTTAATGGTGAGTGTCTTAAGTTCTGTGGTTGGATGATGCCTCACATGGTTAAAATCTGCTGAAAGGTAGCCAGCTGTTAAGTGCTTCTGTTAGAGTAAAGCTCTGGGAATGAGAAAATGAAGTGCTATCTGTTGGAAGCCTTGTACAGTGTGGCAGCATTTGACATGTCTGAGAACATTTCTCGTATAGAAGACTGAAAACTATTTTTTAAAGATTTTTTTTTTCCAAAGGCAAAGTAGCAGAGAAGGAGAGACAGGGAGAGATCTTCCATCCACCAGCTCATTCTCCACATGTCTGTACCAGCCAGGGTTGGGCCAGACAAATGCCAGGAGCCTGGAACTCCATCTGGGTTGCCCACGTGAGTGGCACAACCCAAGAGCTTGGGCAGCTTGCTTTTCCAGGGGCGTTAGTTGGGAGCTGGATTGATTGCAAGACAGTTCAGGTCTGAGAAAATTATAATTTAAATACTGAGCTAAGTTGTTTTTCATATGTGTATCACTGGTATTCTTGTATCATGTAGTGGTTCTCTCATTGCTTTGTGCAACAGTGTTTTTCTCCTCTGAGTATTGAGTTTAATCCTGGTAGGGAGTTGCATATTAGGGCAAAGAACATTTTCTTGGTAGATCTATTTTTACCACTGGCAGTATGATGTTTGATAAATCATTGCATTTTACATTTGCTGTTGAATGGGGATGACAATGCTGTGATGATTAAACGGGAGGGGATTTAAAATTTAGTGGTCTGAGCAGGCCTGTGTTGTGGCACAGTGGTTAAAGCCACCACCTGGGACACTGGCCCCTCCGTTTGAGCCCCTGCTGCTCTGCTTCTAATCCATCTGTCTGCTACTGCACCTGGGAAACCAGTAGAAGATGATTCAAGTACTTGAATTCCTGCTACTCATGTGGGACACCTAGATGGAGTTCATGGCCCTTGAATATGGCCTGCCCCAGCCCAGTCTATTGCAGCCGTTTGGGGAGTGAACCAATGAATGGAAGAGTGCAGTATCTTTTCTTCTCTTTTAACTCTCGCTTTTAAGTAAAAGATAAATCTTAAAAAGAAGAGAGAGGGAGAGAGAGAGAATAGCTTTCTCGGAGTTGGAGTTGGCCTTATGGCTAGTGGGTGTTACCAGCATCCCAATATGAACACCAATTCAAGTTCCAGCTGCTCTACTTCCTATTTTAGTAAATGTGCTGCTGAAGTGAGCACCAGCTGCTCCACTTCCTGCTAATGCCCTGGGAAAAGCTTAGGAGGGTGACTTAAGTGTTTGGAAGGCTCAGATGAAGATCTTCTGCCTGGCCCCTACTTGGTTGCTGTGGCCATCTGGAGAGTGAAACAGTGGATTCAAGATGTTTGTCTTTTGTCTCTCCCTGTTTCTCTGTAACTCTTTCAAATAAATAAATCCTTTTTTTTTTTAAAGTATAAAAGGACAGCTTGCTTTTCTACGTGTTAGCTTTCATAGGAAAACTCTGTATGTTAGAAGAGTTTACATATTAGTAAATCAAGAGTGGATAGTATCTAGGAGAGCAAGCTGTGAGAGCAGAATTACAAGGTTCAGAGATGACATCTAACTCTTGTAATTATTGATGAGTGTACTAATGAGACTGAGTACCAGTCCTCCCATTTCTATTGGGAGAGTATTTTTAGTGGCTTGAAATATTTATATATTTTCTTACCTCTTCTCAGGTGGTCTGCTCATTTTATTATAGTTAGAGAGGAGATCAAGTCTCACATCTGATATTGAAGTAAAATATTTAAAGAAATCATACTGAAAATACAAGAATCAAACTATAGAATAGATTACATATTCACTATAAATATATATAAAA